AATAAATTAACTAAATCTAAACTAATTGATCACCCATAATATTTTCAATTAGGATGTCAGAGGCAAAGATTGGCTCTTATATGTCCCTCTGGTTCGGATTTTATTTAATTTTATTTTTAAAAAATACTATTTACACTTAATTTGAGGACTTAATTTAGACATCTTATCAACTATGACTATTTTTTTTTTTTGGATTGAAACGATAGAAATTTTATTAAGAAGCTAAATCTGATAGAAGAGATAGTATCAAAAAATTTGGTGCCATTTCTTTCTAAAACATCAATATTTTCACCTAATTTGACCTTTCGAGCAAGTTGGTGAGCCACATGATTTCCTGATCGTCTAACAGTGGATAAAGAATAAAAAATAAACATGCGAAGAAACTGCTGCACATATGCAATAATAGTGCCAATAGGAGAAGAATCTTCCGAATTATCGTCAATCCTCTTCGTGATTACATAAGAATCCCCTTCTGACACAATCTCATCACACCTAATTTGCTTAGCAAAAAGCACAGTTTCCCTTGAAGCCATTGACTCTGCAGTTTGCGCTTCTTCCAAACCAATTAACTTCTTAGACAACCCAACAATGAAACTATGTCTATTGAAATTGGAATCCCTCTAACATTAAAACTGGCAATTAATTCAATAAATGAATTAAGTTAGATATCTCTCCAACTTAATAGAAATTTATGCTTAATCAAAATCAAACACATTTTTTTTTTTATTATAAAATCAAACACAATTTAAAATTGAGAGATTCCGAACAAACAGACAATCCATGAAGCTAGAGTCCGAGACATTCAAGTCACCATCCAGTTCCCAAAAAAATACACCCAGTTTAGGAAAGAAAAAAAGGGGGAATCTTACTTTATACCCCCAAAAAATATAATTTTCTTATTTTATACCCAAAAGAATGAGATTTTTTATATTATATCTTAAATATATTAAAAGCGATGCAATAAGTCCCTTTAATTACCTTCTGGTGCTTATTCTATCAAAACTCATCCCATTAAAGTGGATGAAATAAATAACAAAAAGTAATAGAATATCACATTGCAACACTTTAATAATTCTTGATGTAAAACAATTAATCTTTTAAGGAATAAAGTAAAAATTATTAAATCTTTTAGATGTCAAGTGCAATTCTCCAAAGAGAAAAAAGTCATTAGCCATGCGTCCTTAGCCATAAACTTACGTCCCCATTGCTCTCCGCCTCTCACTGTGTCTTCTCACCTTAGCCTTCGTATACCAATGGAGGGGAGGAGAGAGATGGAGAACGGATCGCCGAGATGGGGTTTTCGAGGGAACGACGAGTTGAACATGGCCTCGGAGATCACAATCAGAGGTATGCTCAACTTGTTGATGAGAAATCTCAACGAAGCAGACCACAGAACCACCATTCCTCTCGGCCACGGCGACCCCTCGGTGTTTCCGTGCTTCCGAACCACTTCCGTAGCCGAAGACGCTATCGCCGACGCCCTCCGGTCGGGGAAGTTCAACGGTTATTCTTCTACTGTCGGTATTCTTCCGGCGAGGAGGTACTTAATTTTAATTTTGTCACTATCTTACATCTTTTAATACTCATCTTTTCTTTATAGCTCGTTATCATACCGATGGCATATGTATTTTTTTCTTACTTACTCATTATGTACCTCCACGCTAACAAATCTAACTTCAGAGCATTTACCAATATATATATATATATACTAGTTATAATTCGTGCTTTCAGGCACTATAAAATATAAAATTCGAGCGTCTAAAAAATTAATCTCATTATATTAATTTTTTTAAAAATATATTAATTATAAATTAATTAAATATTCAATGATTAAATATATAATAGAAATGAGTGATGTGATATTTTTAAAAAATAAATATATAAATGATTAAACATATGATACAATAAGTGATGTGATTTGACGTTTGAATTTGACAAATGGATGATGAATGATGTAAGTGAGTGATGATGATTTTATGGGAGAAAATATGACTGGAACAAAATTCAAACACACTCCTATTTTATTATATAAATATACATATATATATATATATATATACACACACAGTATTTGCCACTCAAAACACATAATTTTTCATAATTGAGCAACACTAACGGTACAGGGGAGTTTAGAAGGCCAATAAACTGAGCTCATACACCGTCACCAAAATGTTTTGGTTTTTTTAGAGGCCCCGGAGGCTTGCCCTTTCCTCTTTTCTGCAATATCACTTATATGAGTAGACTGGAGCTGACGCAGCAGAACAAAGGAACACAAATAACGTTATGATTCTAAGTGTATAAAATGTACACACTTTAAATCCATAGAAAAAGGAACAAGAGAATATCTCAAAAAGAGATATATTATTCAATAAATGATCTGTATTACATACGAGCATATATAAAGAAATAGCCAAAACCATAATTGTCCCCACGTAAAATTCCTAATTATACAAAAATTATCAAAAATGAAAAATTACAATTTAACTAATTAACATAAAAACACGTGTCATCTGAAATCCAATCCAACTGACGGCACTGAATTTAAAATCTTTTATGATTTATTATTAATTTTTAAATTCTTTCCTAAAACAACAAAAAGGGAGTTTTGAGCGCTTCAACGATGGAATTTGATCCAAAAATGAAGGTGTTCATGGCTAAGCCATGAGTCTTGATTGTTGGCCCGATCCAAATCAAACACCACTACTCTCAATTAATTATGGGTCCGGTCCATTTTGCCTTTATTATCACTTTTTTGCTTTTCTATGCACCGCGGTCTTCCTGCTCTAAGTAATTAGCACGAGCAACCACTTGTTCTACAGCAGGAGCTTATCTCAATGTACTTTTGCCTTTTTTTCCCTTGTATACATCTGCATTAGTAGACTGATATTTGAATTTAAGAGTATTTGTAATAGTGGTTCTTGCTATTTTTGACATTACTTACCATATGATTGCCCAAATATTGATATAGAAGAAAATCAGTTCAATAAACAGTATGATCATGCCTTCATGGAACCCAACAAGCTACATCACACTGTTATCCACCATGAATTGACAAGAACTCAAGAATATTAATTATACATCTGATGCAAAATTATCAATATAAATAATGTTATAGTTTGGAAAACACAATTTATATTGGTTTCTCAAATGATTAGTAAGCTCCAATGGTCAAATCTAGGACGGGCCTATGGTACCTGGCTACTGCCAGCTTTTAAAACCTCCTTTAATTCCCCAAACCCTTGAACTGTAAACACCAAAAAGAGTTACTCATAGAAATTACATGGCTGATCATTTATATTTAGGGTATGTTACCACTTAAATCAACCTATTTAAAGATGAACTTTTGGCAAAACTATCACTGAACTCTGTTTTGACAACTTTATAGACTGATGTCCCAAGATGTTTTGATAGTTAGATCGTAATGTTTGTAAGGGTCAATTGATCATTTCTATTGAAGCCTACATAAGGAAATTCAACACCATGATGTGGGTAATGATTCTATGCACACTTGATGTCGTATTCGGATGCTAATAGGCAATGTACAACTACATCTAAAGACCAAATATCTCATGGCATTTACATTTATTGTGAGTAATTATATTTAAAGGCATAGTTGTTAATATCATATAAAACGCGATACAATCTATATAATACGTTGCAATACATGAAGAAAATGATATGTATCGCTTAAGAGTATCAGTTTGCATCGTATCATTCTGTTGGAGTTAGCAAGCTAGTTTATTAGGATTATTTTTTTCTTTTTTATCCTTATTATGACTTTTATTTTTTGACTAGACCACAAGGATGTTTAGGTCACTTTGTAATATTATTTGGCTATATATACGGGGTTTTACTCTTAGTTGGGTATTCCTTTTCACTCACATCTATTTCAAGTTGGTATTAGAGCCACCAACCCTAACCCTAACCCTAGCCTCCGCCAAACATTGCTACCAGCTAGATGAAAGACACAACCAACACCCATTGACTGTGAACACTGAAATCAGGTACCATTCCACCGACCGCCTCTGCTTTAACTCTATTAAACTCCATTAAACCAGTAACTCCATTAAACCAAACAACTCCATCAAACCAACAACTCCACCGACCATTACTCCATTAAACCAGTAACTCCATTCAACTCAATCACCGACCAGCATACTCCACCGACTAGCGACCGACCCAGACAACATACTAGTCAGCCCATCATCCACTGACTGCCCATCCTTTTCAGCCCATCCACCGACAGGCAATCTAGCAACCAAACCCCACTGACTGCCCATCCTTTTCAGCCCATCTACCAAACTAGCTCCATTGTGTCGAAGACATACCCAGCTCAACATAAAACCCAGCCCATTGTCCAACCTAAAACGCAGCCCAACCAACCCACAGCTCAGCCCACTGTTTAGCCTTTGACCAACCCAGTGCCCAAGCAACACCAAGTTCGTGCTCAGGCAGTCCCAGTGCTAGTCTGTCATGCCTTTGTGCTTCTCATTCTTTGTCGCAGTGTCATTATCTATTCGTACCACTGATTTCTTTTTCCTAGGGGTGCAATATTTAGGATCTTTTTAAAAGGGGTCGGATCCTCTTCTTTGTTGATCTGATTTTGATTCAATAGATCAATTATATATTTACTGAATTTTTGGGCACCATGACCTGATTATTTGAGAGCTTTTTGGACCTTCTTTATCTGTCGTTACGATTCGACTGGAGGTATATTGTTCTCCCTTATTTTATTCCTCTATTTATCTTAGAATTATTTTTCTGTCACGAGTGCCCTAGTATTGTTGATGATATGACTACTACTAAGGGACTTGAGACCCTTACTGTTGACACCTCTACCGTTAAGACATCTATTAGTAATTTTACTTTTATGTTTGACCAGTATATAGTACCTACTGATACAGTTGCATTACCAGCATCACTGATTATGATTTCTCAGAAAGTTATATCACAGTTATTGAATGGTCGTAACTTTGCTGAGTGATCTCGTTCATTCCAGCTTTTCTTAGGTCATGTAAGGAAGAATGGTTGGCTGACGGGATCTCACCCGAAGCCAGTTGATGACGACCCTGGATATTCTGCATGGTTCATTGAGAACTGCGTCATTCTTGGATAGTTATTTTGCTCAATTGAGCCACCTGTTTGTAGGATTCATTAGTTTCATAGCTCTGTTTAGAAGTTATGGAGCACATTATCAGAGATGTATTCCTAGTTAAGATGACGAGTTCTTGTTTATGAGATTTCTTAGGAGCTATCATATGCTCGATAGGGAGATATAACCATTCAAGATCATTATGGCTATTTGACCCAACGTTGATTTGAGTATGAAACTCTACGTCTTCTTACTTCTATTTCGAGGATTGAGCCCGAGGGAGCAGCATTCTTGCATACTCGAGAGTAGGAGAATGAGATTCACAAGTTTCTTATGGGGTTTCGTGATGAGTTTGAGGGGCCTCGTTCCTAGATCTTGTCCATGTTGAGACTTTCTTCTCTTTATGAGGTGTATGTGATAATTGAGCAACATGAGCACTGTGTCTATATTGCATCACTTCTAGTTGCGGCCTTGACTCCTTCAGCTGACCAGATGGCCCTTGTAGCTGCTGTAGGGTCTTGTTCAGGATCCTTAGTCAGGGGTGGACAGCGCTCAGACTAGCGCCGTTAGAGTGCCCCAGATTAACGTAGCCAGGGTGGTCCTCGTTAGTGTGATTATTGTGGCCAACCAAGACATCTCAGGGCTACTTGTTGGAAGCTCCATCCAGAGCTTAAGTCGCCTCCTCGCGGTCGTACTACTGCTATTGCTGAGGTACCACCACCTACTACCACTGCTCCTCTTTGGCAGAGTGACATAGATGCTATCACTTTTCAGTTGGATATATTTATGACTGCCCTGACTTCTCAGGGTCCAACTACTGCTACTGCCACCAATACAGGTATACCTCGTACTTTTCATGCTTGCGTCAGTCCGTCTCCCCTTTAGATGCTGGACTCGGGTGCAAATGGTCATATGACAGGTGAGACCTATCACTTCACCACTTTTGATGAACAGTTACATACACAGGTTCAACTAGTAGATCAGACACATGCCCCCTATTGTTAGTAGGGGTACAGGCCGTCTACCAAATGGATTTACATTACATTCAATTTTTCAAGGGCCAAAGCTAGTCATGAATCTATTATGTGTACATCAGTTAGCCAAAGATTTTCACTGTGTAGTTGTGTTCTTATCTGATTTGTGTTATTTGCAGGACCTGAGTACCAAGATGATTATTATCAAGGGACTGAGCGAGATGAACTGTATTAACTAGGCGATCCACCTTCAGTTTCACTAGTTCCTTCACCTCCATCACTTGCACCTGCACTTGCTTTGTCTTTATCTGTTTCTAGCTTGCATGTTAGTATTTTACCTAGTACATGTCGTTATGATTTTTCATCACAAACTGTTTAGTTGTGGCATGACCATTTTGGGCATACAAATTTTAAATATTTATGTATGTTATTTCTTGCTGTAAGCAATGCTTGTATTGGTGGTAAACTTGACTA